CTGAGGTGTAATCACCATATAAGCAAGAGATATGAGGAATAGTGAACAGTACAATAATTTCCAGTCAAGAATGTAGCACTCGGCGTTGGCAGTTCTAATCGTCTTCAAGACGCTACAGCTTCGACACAGAACAGACAGCAGACTTGGACCACATCCAGCTACAACGCTCTCCCACATAGAGCTCCGTGACTCCGGCCTCACTCAGCTCTCTGCTCTGCTCCAGGCTTCGTCTCAACGTCTACGACACTGCTGTATCCAGGACTACTAAATAAATATGAAACTCACTAAACACCGTGTATCTAATCAACCCAACAACGTAACATAATCGTACGTTACAGTTCCCTCCCTGAGTTTGTCTTCTATGGTATTCACACAGACAAGTTCACCTTTCTCAGTAAATCAAGGGCCAGTCCTGTACAGTATAGTCACAGTGTCAAAACACCACTTCTACTCTCCAGTAACACACTGGCAAGGGGGTCTCCAGTAACACACAATTAGTTAGTTTAGTTCATTTATTATGCACCCGTACCCATTTAGTGGAAAGGGTTACAGAGGCACATAATGGGCTCAGGGACTGAACCCCACAATTCATTTAGCTAAGCAAGTTACAATCTTGATGAGCTAGTTACAAAATTCAGTATGAGTCGTCACATCATAAATGGGTTCGAGATCGACCTCAAGTACAGTTTCTAAATTAAGCAACTGACATGTGGAGAGCTAGTGTCACAATTGATATGTTTGTCCTGCACACCGCCCCCCATCCAGTGGGCAGCGGTGGATAGGTTACAGTCACTTAGTTACTTCCTACAGTTTGCAAACTGGGGATATTTGGCTAAAATTTGTGGTAGCAGATCATTTTGAATGAAATATTTATATATCTTTGGAACATTGGTTAAAGAATTGTCTAAATTCACGTATTTTTTCGCACTCCATCACATAGTGACGGAGGGTGTGCGAATAATTTTGTTGACACAGTTTACATTTGGTCAGGTCTACATCAGCAGATAATGAGAATTCCCAGAGATACTTGTAACCGAGTCTAAGCCGAGCAGTAGTAACATCTAGAAGTCTGCTGATTTTATTTGATGATCCATAGATGTGTGGCTCCTCTTGCATGATAGTATGATGATAGATGGAATTACTGGTGGCGATTTCACTTTGCCTCAGATCTACAAGATCTTGTTGAAGTTCTCGGTGTACTGCTGCTCTCAGATTGCTCATTGACAATCTAAGGTTACACTCAACGGCTCCTTTAAAGGCAGATTCTTTGGCTAACTTATCAGCTCTATCATGCATTCGGAGGCCAACATGAGATGGAGACCACATGAAATGGACTCTGTTACCATCCTTAATAATTTTGTTGTATTTGTGCCTAGCTTCGGACACGAGCATGTTACAGTTACGTCTTAAAGAGTTGAGAGCATTTAAGGATGATAAAGAGTCATTTGCAATTAATGTCAAAGTCTCTTGGTATACTCTCCAAAATCAGATATTATGTACCTAACTCTGCTCTCATCTCTCTATATTATGCACTAATCTATCCCTATCTTAACTATGGTATCTGTGCATGGGGTTCAACCACTGCAAACCACCTCAAGTCCATCATCACCCAGCAAAAATCTGCTATCAGAATAATAACAAATTCTGCTTTCAGACAACACTCAGCCCCCTTGTTTAACTCCCTAAACATACTAAACATAATCTCACTCCACAAGTTCTCTTGTGTCAACTACATTTACAAAACCCTGTTCTTAAATGCAAATCCTGCTCTGAAACTCTCCCTGGACAGATGTAATAGGACCCATTATCACCACACCAGAAATAAATATCTCTTTGATATCCCCAGAGTCAAACTTAATCTGTGTAAACACTCTATGCAAATAAAGGGATCCAGTCTATGGAACTCACTCCCTATTGAATTGAAAAGCTGTCCAACTTTTGCGTCATTCAAAAACAATACTAAAAAGTACCTAATTTCATCTTCATAGTTTTTTACCTTTTGCTTTAAAATTGCGCTGTATCTATTGCTACCCAATCTCCCAATCTTTATGTACCCAATCTGAACATATTTACCACTGTGATCATGGCTGTCTTCTTATATGTGCTGTTAATCTGTCGTATGGTGTCTATTAATCTTGTTTAAATTACCAATTAAGCTGTCAGTGTAATCAATCAGAGCTTTAATATACCAATGTGCTTTAATATACTAATCTCTCTCATCTCATTTTTTTTCTTGCAATGTATTTGTTATCATTTTATTAATTCTGATAGAATTTAACTACTTCAATTTATCTGTTAGATTAAGGACCTGCCCGAAACGCTGCGCGGACTACTGGCTTTACTAGATTGTAAATACTATGCAATGTATTCTCACAAACCCAATGTACCTTCTTGTATAGAAATAAATAAAAAAATAAATGTATCAAGTTTGGAGACTTGTACACTTTTCAGTGCAAGGAGCAAGGCAAATAAACAAATTCACAAGGGCGGTGACGAGGATTCGAACCTGCGACCGAGAGCATCCCAGATGCTGCCTTAATCGACTGAGCTACGACATGGTCAATAGGAGTTGAAACCGAAGTTCTACTAAACTTACTGGATCCTGCAGCCTCTCCGAGGCACAAACCAGGGTTTTACACAACTCCTCCCAAGCACTCGAGCTATTTCAAAAGGCTGTTCTCCCTCTTCGCCCTTACTTCATTGACTTCAACCCTGATTTGTGCCTCGGAAAAGTTGCAGGATCCAGAAAGTTCAGTAGAACTTCAGTTTCAACTCCTTTTGACCATGTCGTAGCTCAGTCGATTAAGGCAGCGTCTGGGATGCTCTCGGTCGCAGGTTCGAATCCTCGACACGGCCCTTGTGGATTTGTTCATATGATGCATCACGCAATTGTGATATCTGTGTGTAACCAAGGCAAATAGTTCGGTCTGAAGGGTAGAGGCCCAGTTGTTTATACAGACTCCGCACTCAAAATATAAGCCACCGCCCATTGTCAGGAGAACTGCACTTCCAGACACACAGGCGGAGCATTCCAGCAACACACTGGCAGGGGTCTCCAGCAACACACTGGCAGGGGTCTCCAGCAACACACTGGCAGGGGTCTCCAGCAACACACTGGTAGTGGTCTCCAGCAACACACTGGCAGGGGTCTCCAGCAACACACTGGCAGGGGTCTCCAGCAACACACTGGCAGGGGTCTCCAGCAACACACTGGCAGGGGTCTCCAGCAACACACTGGCAGGGGTCTCCAGCAACACACTGGCAGGGGTCTCCAACAACACACTGGCAGGAGTCTCCAGCAACACACTGGCAGGGGTCTCCAGCAACACACTGGCAGGGGTCTCCAGCAACACACTGGCAGGGGTCTCCAGCAACACACTGGCAGGGGTCTCCAGCAACACACTGGCAGGGGTCTCCAGCAACACACTGGCAGGGGTCTCCAGCAACACACTGGCAGGGATCTCCAGCAACACACTGGTAGGGGTCTCCAGCAACACACTGGCAGGGGTCTCCAGCAACACACTGGCAGGGGTCTCCAGCAACACACTGGCAGGGGTCTCCAGCAACACACTGCCAGGGTTCAACACACGCTAAAGTTATAACAAGCTTTAACAGACGGACATTAATTCCGTCTAGTAACTCAACTTGACCATCCAGGAATACGTTGGTCCAATCACGAATACTTCACTAAGTATCTCAGAACTAAGTATCACACGTCTTGACTTCAGGTTTGCCCTGAGTGAACTGATTCCTGTCGACCAGGGTACCAACCACATTACTCCTGAGAAGTAAAAGATGAATAATAAGAAGGATCTACACAAGTGTCATTGAGATCACAGCCTTCCACCAGGGAACAGAAACTGGGGTCGGGTGCACTTAACTGATGTGTTGACATCGTCACAGTAATGTCACAGCTTGCCATAGGCAAAGCTCTTCTAAAGACACTCCCAGACTCCCTGATCCTCGCACTCACTGACGCCTCACTAGCCTCAGGATATTTCCCAAGCCCAATGAAAGAGGCCACAGCAATCTTTATTCCAAAACCTCAAAAATCCCCGACCGACCCCAAGAACTACAGACCAATCAGCTTACTAGAGACACTAGGCAAAGTATTTGAAAGACTTATAAACCACAGACTCAGACATCACTTAGAACATAGGAACCTACTAACCGACAATTTGGCTTTCGACAACACCGCTCCTACCAAGATGCACTTAACATAATAACAAACTCCCTCAACATCAACTAACATCAAAAAGTCAAGACAACCTTCATACTAAAGACGTTGAAAAGGCGTTTGACACAGTATGACACGACGGCCTCAGGTTCGATCTCTACACTCTATCTGAACTTCCTGGCAACATGCAGAGGTTACTATGCAGCTTTCTGACTGATAGAAAGATGCTGATCAAGTTCCTCGACAACAAGGTGTCAGGATACTTCAACCTGAATGCTGCTGTCCCCCCAATGTTCAGTACTCTCACCGACTCTCTATATTCTCTACATACAGGAGTCCACCCGAGGAGCCGGAGGCCGAGCGGACAGCACGCTGGGTACGTGATCCTGTGGTCCCGGGTTCGATCCCGGGCGCCGGCGAGAAACGATGGGCAGAGTTTCTTTCACCCTATACCCCTGTTACCTTGCAGTAAATAAGTACCTGGGAGTTAGTCAGGTGTCACGGGCTGCGTTCTGGGATGTGTGTGTGTGTGTGTGTGTGTGTGTGAGGAAAAGAAAAAGTAGTTAGTAAACAGTTGATTGACAGTTGAGAGGCGGGCCGAAAGAGCAAAGCTCAACCCCCGCAAAACACAACTAGGTGAATACATTCCTAATGTAATCAACACCCCCAATACTCGGCCTCACGCTAGATCACAACCTATGAATGCACATACACTTAGCGTCTTAAAAAGCTATAGCCTATCAAGCGCTCTCTTTAGGCATCTTCCTAAAACAAGCTACCCCAGCCACTAAGCTCTACTTTTACAAAACTCTCTTTCTCCCATATGCACCCATCCCACTGGCACTCGCAAAACCAACTAACAGGAAAAATCTCCAGCGTACCTAGAACAGAGCCCAGTTCTGGGTACTCGGCACCCACTGGCAGGACTTCCTACGCTGGGTATTCGGCACCCACTGGCAGGACTTCCTACGCTGGGTACTCGGCACCCACTGGCAAGACTTCCTACGCTGGGTACTCGGCTCCCACTGGTAGGACTTCCTACGCTGGGTACTCGGCTCCCACTGGCAGGACTTCCTACGCTGGGTACTCGGCACCCACTGGCAGGACTTCCTACGCTGGGTACTCGGCACCCACTGGCAGGACTTCCTACGCTGGGTACTCGGCACCCACTGGCAGGACTTCCTACGCTGGGTACTCGGCACCCACTGGCAGGACTTCCTACGCTGGGTATTCGGCACCCACTGGCAGGACTTCCTACGCTGGGTATTCGGCACCCACTGGCAGGACTTCCTACGCTGGGTACTCGGCACCCACTGGCAGGACTTCCTACGCTGGGTATTCACTAGTGAAACCCTTCATGGGTGGCCGAAGGCTCCGGCACTGAACGTGGTCTGGGATACAATGGGATAAAAAACAGATCACAAGAGTTCTTACCTTCCATAACAACTATGCAACCTCCCTTAGCAACCCCTTACCAGACCTAGAAACACTCACAACATCTTCAACTTCAATGTTATGATCCGCCTGAGGACAGTCAAGTGAGACTCCAGTACTCACCTAGTTGTTGCGCTTGCGGGGGTTGAGCTCTGACTCTTTGGTCCTGCCCCTCAACTGATGTACAGATTCCTGAGCCTACTGGGCTCTATCATATCTATATTTGAAACTGTGTATGGAGTCAGCCTCCACCACATCACTGCCTAATGCATAACACCTGTTTACTACTCTGACTGAAAAAGTTCTTTCTAGCGTCCCTGTAGCTCATTTGGGTACTCAAGTCTCCACCTGTGTCCCCTTGTTCGCGTACCACCCGTGTTAAATAGTTTATCCTTATCTACCCTTTCAACTCCTCTGAGAATTTTGTAGGTGGTGATCATGTCTCACCTTACTCGTCTATCTTCCAGTGAAGTGAGATGTGCATGTGCCATTGCAGTATAGATAGATTTAATTTTCTTTATTTTAACCTACTTTTGTAGTAGATTTATAAAAATAACCAAAAGGTAACCATAAGGTAATTGAATGATAAGTGCTAGGGACAGAAGTGTTATTTAAACTTTTTTATTTTCTAGACATTTTGATAATTTTTATGTTATTATGTTTTAGATTTTACGAGGTTTAAATATATTTTTATACTTTTTATATTAAAAATATATTATAATTTTCTCCCTTGAGTATTTTTTATATATTAAATTTGAAAAGTAATAAACTGAAATAAGTTGAACGAAAAAATTACTAAAAATATACATATTAAAAATTTATTCACCTGACATATTATTAGAGATATCATATATAGTCGAGCTTCAGCGCCAGGCTCCGACTTTCCACCAGTCTAATATGTAATACAATGACTGTTCCTGCATGCATATTATCCTATTAATTTATAAAGCTCAGTATAAACTTTGCGTTTAGCTTAAAATCCATTTTCTTTGTTGTTAACTTATGGACTGACTCAACTCTCTTCATATTTCACTTTTCCTTCTATGGTTCTAAGTTACTTTACAATAATAATAATTTACTAACACAATTATATTTCATTAAATAAAGTGTACATCAAGTTACATTATCAATAAATGAAGTTTGCATAATTCAAAATAATCAGATTGAGTCTTCATGAACAATATCTCGCTCAGAGATCAAGTCACTGCACTTCTTGTATTTATATATACACTTACATTATGGTTCAGCCACAAGCACACGTAGCGCTTCGGGCTCGTCCTTAATCCTAATTTTCACACACTCACAACCCCAGGAAGCAGCCCGTAGCAGCTGTCTAACTCCCAGGTACCTATTTACTACTAGGTGAGCAGGGGCATCCTGGTGAAAGAAACTTTGTCCATTTGTTTCTGCCTCCGCCGGAGGGGATCGAACCCGGACCCTTAAGACTACGAACGCCGAGCGCTGTCCACTCAGCCGTCAGACCCCCGTGCACTAGGCTTTTTATGCCTTCAACTTGATGTGTCATGATTGCAAGACCTCGCCAAAAGTTTGACGAAGATTAAGCCACACAAGAGGTGGCAAGGGGCATTAATAGCCTGTAAGTGGTAGAGTGTTAGTAGTGTGTGTGATCATTGGTCGTGAAGCAGGCCAAAAGTGAACTCTCAATTTATATACACACCGACAAGTTGGTTAAACTTAATGTTGTACATATTCCTGGTGACCTTAAGGATTTGGTGAATTTTGTGTTCATGTCTTCCAAAACGTCGCGTGAAATTACTGACTTCTTACCAAATATGAATACATGTTATGTAATGAGATCTTCTGTATCTGTTATAAATCAAGTGTTAATGTTAATAATGATATTTTCGAGACAGAAGGAGTCCAGCATGAGGGAAGACAACACGGAAGCTCCCCCGGGACTGTTCCATCAGTGACTGGTACAAAGGTGACCCAAGTGGGGGAGGGAGGAAGTGGCACACACCAAGGTTGTGGAGACGAGCTATTTTATGGATAAGAAATATTGCCAGAGCTTAACCCAGCTGGTGGCAGCTTGGTCACAGTTCAGGAGGCTGAGCTGCGGGAGGTCACCGGCCTACACTTAACAGGAAACACTGGACCTACCCTACCTACTACTACTGGACCACTACCCTACACTGGAAACAGTTGAACAATCCCAAACCGTATCGAAGAGACATTTCAAATGCCTCGACACTACCTCACCAACCTGTCCTCCAACAGCGTTGCTTTTCGCTCGTATGCGTTACATAGAGCCAAAAATTGTCGTACTAGAAAATGGAAGCGGCTGGCGAAAGTGACGTACATTCCCGTTTTCTCTTTTGGGTCCTCTGGGACGTTAGGGAGAGGACACTTTAAATTAACCGTTTTTTTACATTGGGAAACCTTAGGAGGACTTAGTGACATCAGTATCTTCCCATATCACTATGGAGAAGCTGTACCAACCAACGCAATGCTTCAGGTGCTTCCGATGTGATCGCGTTGCAAGCAATTGCACTGAGCAAGAAGCACGATGTAGCATATGTTCAGGGACACATCTACAAGAGTTGCACGAGCAACAACAAATGAACCCTGTATGGACAACAAGACATTGTCATTTCCTACCTCTGATCCAAGAGGAAGGTTAGGTTAGCAGCCAGAAGCAGCTCCAATTGACCTGGGCCCAGAACAATTCTCAGGGCTACCGACGCAGGTCGCCTGGAGAAAGTAAAAATGTTGCAGTGTTGGGAGAGAGTGTCTAAGGTACTCTCGTATCTCATGGAATGTGACGGACAGGGCAAAGGTAGTTTGCACTCACCAACTCCACTCAACTATATGGATAGGGAAAAATCGTATATATATATATATATATATATATATATATATATATATATATATATATATATATATATATATATATATATATATATATATATATATATATATATATATATATATATATATATATATATATATATATATATATATATATATATATATATATATATATATAACTAACTCTTGGGTACCCACTTACTGCTAGGTGAACATAGGCATTAGGTGATAGGAACCGCGCCCAACCATTTCTGTCTCGCCGAGGATCCGAACCCAGAACTCTCGATTGTGAGTCGAGATGTAACCCGACTTCAAGTTACCTAACCTAGCCCAACCCAACCCATCCCAGCCTAACCTTTCCCAACCCAATCTAGCCTAACATATCCTAACCTAACCCAACTGAGCACAATACAGCCAAACCTAAGCTACAACAGCCTTACATAACAATATATAAATACAATTTTAGCAAACAGAAAATGAGCTTTGTCAAATCATCTTGTGTCCGAAACGCCCCAGTCAGGCACCTTACAATTTATACGCCTTCATATTCCATTAATTACAAAAGTTTTTTCAATTATTATTAAATTTTAATTAGGACAAACCCTTACCTAACATCATTTTTGCTGCATTAATCATAACCAAACAACGATGGTTTCAATTTATCATTATGTGATGAGGTACGTCGCTTGGCTCATTTCTCTACATGTAGTAATGAACAAATGTGTGTCCTAGACATCCTCCTCTATTAAGGCCCTTGCGGGTCCTTGTTGGTGTCAATCATGGACTTAACGTGAGACTTGCTAGAATGTTTTATGTATCATTTATACGCTCTGTGATTGACTACAATGCTCTACATCTCACACTGTATACTGACAAAGAGCTGAAATCTCTTAAAACCTTGCAAAATGAAGCTATGCGTCTCATCCTTGGGGCTCCAAAGTCCACGAGAATAGTTAATATGAGAACAGAGTTAAAATTACCTACCATAAGTGAGAGAATTTTGTCTATTAGCACAGTTTTCGGCGTGAAGGCATTGAGTAGATCTAGACAACACATGAAGTTTCAAGCTAAACTTTCTAATATGCTACACTCACCTGAGGTCTATAGAAGAAGAACGAAATCTGATTATGTATTTTGGTTCTACAAGGTAGCCAACTCCATCAACATATTAAATATGTACCCAACTCAATTAATGATTAATCAACCAATTACTCCATGGGTTAACTGGGATCTATCAGTTGATTTTGTAAATGTGCCCAAGAAAGATAGTGTACACTCTACATTATTAAAACAGTTAACACTGAAAAGCATCACTGAAAGTAATCAGAGTATGGGTAACGATGTGTATCTGTGCTATACCGACGGCTCTGTAGAAGAAGGTGGACGATGTACCGGATGTGCATGCAATATATTTGAACAATCTTCTTTCGTACATACAGCAATGAAGCGCGTCAATGACTGGGCAAGTACAACTCAAACCGAACTTGCAGGCATATACCTTGCCACGGAATTTGTAAAAGACAAAGGCAGTGGACTCATATACTGTGACTCGCAGAGTGCACTCCTGGCATTGAACGCACATAGTAGTGACACCCAGAAAATAGTCAGTGATATTCGAATGAATGTTTTAGCTGCTAAAGAAAACAGATTTGAAATTAAATTCCTATGGATGCCATCACATGTTGGCATCTCAAGGCATGACACTGTTGATATGCTTGCAAAGACAGCCTGTAGAAAACCAGTGGTAGAAATTGATATGGGTGTTTCATTAGCAGTGACAAAGAGAATACTTAAACAAATATCTAATGAAGATCTCACCGACCTAACAAATTCACAAAGACCTGAAAGTTGTAGTATTAAATATTATGATAGATATCGTGAGGAGACATTCACATATGGGACTAATAGAACAAGAACCCGGCAATGTGATGTTATAGTGGCCAGAATACGCCGGGTATATAGACGTATCTGGCAGCTTTCTCAAAACCCAAATGTCGAGTAAACAATGTGTCAACTTTGTGAAAGAGAAAACATGCACTCTCTTGAACATTATATTGTAGAATGTCCCATACTGACTGACTTTCGCCCTCCTGAGCTAAGGTATGCTGAACTCTTTAATTA